CAACCTGCAAAGAGCACTTGATCACACAGGAGAAAATATCACACTGTGACCTCTGCAGTATGCTTTTCATTTACAGCTATTTGTAACTTTTTTCCAACTCACATTACTTTTTGCCCACAACACTCTGCTCGGTAGAGAACAATGGGAAAAGAACAGAAGGATAGAAAAGCGAGCATGAATAACAAGGTTATTTTGCAAAGAGGGGTTCTGGTAACATTTACACTCAGTTTGCCTGATTTTAGATACTGGACTTCAAGAGCCTTTATGAATGCCTTATTCATATTACAAGGAAGATTTTTGTATACATCTACTAGGTGGACTTTAAACATTTGTTTACGAAACAAAATCTTTGCTATAGATAAACAAATATAAATAAAAGTGTATTGCTCTCTTCTCTGGGTGGCAAGTGTAATGGGCTAGCTGGTAGTGATTTGGCCCAGGGGTTTTGAAAGGGTAAAAGATGACTGGGGAGCTTGGGATTCCCTTTCCTCACCAGTCAAGCCCCAGAGACTCCCTCTCCATGTCCCCTGATTGGACCCTTGGGTCAGCTGGAGGGGGATAAAAGGGGCAGGGCAGCACAGCTGACTTGGGGAGATTAATGAGGGGGGTCATAAGGAGGGAGTTTCAAAGAGATAGCTCAGTGGGGCAGAAGCAGTTACCCCAGAAGAACCTGGAGTGGGACCTGCAGGCAGCAGTTGGATCTTTAGCAGTGTGATGTGCAGCAAGCAGGAGAGGCTCCCTACTGGGCTCCAGGATCCCCCTCCAAGAGGCTGCAGACAGCAGGAGAGGCTCCACAGCTCCAGCAAGAAGCTGAGCAGTGACCCAAGAGGTTCCTAGTTCTGCTTCCAGATCCTCTAGCAAGAGGCAGGGCAGCTTGACATGAGGCAGGGGCTCCTGGAAGGTCAAAACCCTTATCAGGTTGGAGTAATCTTAGCACTGGTGGCTGTGTGGTAGCATTTCTACTGACCATGTAGGATGTCTGAGTTCAAGTCCTAGCTGGGTCAAGTAGGGGTGAGTGAAGTGATAGGGGATAAATTCTTGTCACAGTGGAAGGGGGTCATTGTATTTTCCCTCTTTTTTTTTTCCCCCCTCCTCCAGGTATCTGTGCCCTATATCTCTTGTTATTTGATGTTTTGTATTTTGTACATTTTATATTTTGCCAACCAGTACTGTTTGTTGTGCTGTTTGTGTTTTATACTTTAAGCCTGTCTTTTGCCAACTGGATGAATATGTCTATAAATGTAAATGCCTAATCTTTATTGAACCCGCCCCTCGGGGTGTTGTACTGTCCCCTCTACCCCCTGGTTTATACATGTTATGTTCCCACTACTGTTTTTTCTCATTAAAAGGTATATGGTTAGGTCTCATTGATGATCTGGCTCTGCTGTATAGGGGAAGGAGAGTCCCTTCACCTCCCACAGTGCTTGTGCACCTGCTCTGATCCCTTCAAGTGGGAAAGGGGGTATGTCTTGGAGTACTGCCTGGCTTACACAAGTTTTGCATCACATCCCTTAAGTCAGTGGTGCTCTCAACCTTTTGGTCCCCTGGGGTGGATGAGTGGTGCAGGGTTGCTCCATGGGCCTAATCAGGTCCTAGACACCAGGATTTGATTCTATACCACTCTGGACCTGTGCTGCCAGATCAGGCCACTGTGCCTCTGCTTTTGTCCCATGCTGCCAGATAAGGCTCTGCACTGCCCCCAGGCCTGCAGGTCTCTGTTCTGCCTTGTGGTCCTGGGTCAGGCCCCACACTGCCTTTGGCCAGTCCCTGTGCACATGGATGAGCCCTGTGCCGCCTTGCCAACCCATGGGCCAAGACTGGGCCCAACGCCACCTCTAATTGACCCCATGCTGCCTCTGACCAGCCCCCAGGCCCTAGGATTGGGCCCTGCATAGCCCTGGCCCTGCATACATGGATTGGCCCCATGCACCCAATCTAGCCTACAGGACCACACTATCTAGCCTGTGGGTCTAGAAATGTGGCAGCAGGGGAAGGGCAATTAATGCTGCCACTACTCCCTCATCACAAAATTTTAGGACCCATGTAGACACCTGCAAGTCGGATGACTCAGTTTTGTGCACAGATTTGCCCTGCTGACCAGGGGTTCAGCACCCCAACCCTAAGTTATTGTATAGGTGCATATGAATGCACAAAAGATACAGACTGCACTAGGTTGGAAAAATATGGGTCTTTTTCAGGCTTCTTATTTAGCTTTTGTAGCAGGCTCACCTTTCAGAGCTTGGGTTGAGTCCCAGGCTTGAGATCCTGCTGTTTTGATTAGTAAAGCCCATCCACCAATCAGGAGGCAGCAGGAGAAATAAAGTCAGGCCCCTTTCCTGAGGGAAAGGGGAGAAAAGCTCCTCTGGACCTGATTGAGGACTGTAAACTGCCAGGTCCGGAAGACTTCGGGGCAGACCCCTGAAGCGTATAAAAGGAGCTGCGTGCCTAGCATGAGGGGCAGATGTAGCGAGTGACTCAAGAAGAGTAGAGCCAAGAAAAGCTGGGGAGCTCTCCCCAGCAGGCAATAGTCCCAAGGCTCCTGAAGCCACCACTGGAGGAGCAGCCTTGGGAGCAGTCTGAGACTGCTCAGGCTATTGACTGTGCACAGGGATGGCACGGGAAGACCTGGCCCTAGGAGCAGTATAAGATTGCTCGGGCCCATCACGGTGCGTGGTTTGGTGCATGGAGCCCAGGCTTTGGAAGCCTCAAGTGGTGGCTCAAGCCTGCATCCCTGGTAGGGCCAGTGGGCTGCACAGGGCAAAGGCCTTGGGACTGCAGCGAGGTGTCTCAGGCCCCATCTCCCAGCAAGCAGCCAGGTCTCACGGTGCACAGGGCAGCACATGGGCCTGAGCCTTGGGAGTAGCAGAGGCTGCCTGGGTTGTCCACCTGGCATGAGGATGGTCGGCCAGACCCTGGAGGGCCTGGCCTATGCTAAGAGAGCCCTCAGTACCGAGTCAGGGCACGGGGAAATGGTAGCATTGCAGCGTGAGGCCCAGGAGCCAGCAGCAGTGGTGCAGCAGCTGAGAGGAGCTGAGCCCTCAGAGCCCAGAGCAGGGCACAGGGTGGGGAGGAGCCCAGCAGTGCAGGAGAGGCCTGGAGAGGCGCTCCAGCAGAGGAGACCCTATCAACCTGCGCCCTGACTGCCACCCGAGGGACTGAGTCATCGGGCCCTTGGGTCCCACAAGGGAAAGACATTTGGGGCAAGGAAACTCAGAGAAGGGGCTGGGTGAGCAGCCCCCACCTAGTCAAGGCCCTAAGGGGAGGGGCCACTGGTGCTTCCTGGACACCCCCCCAAAGGACCCCATTGGAAGGAGGACTATCTCTTGCCATGGGTCAGGGACTACATTAAGAAATAGATGTTATTAAGATTGTGAGAGCGAGCAGGATTTTGTTGATATTGTTGCTGTACTGCTTTGTTGTTATAGTGGTATTGAGTGCTGATTGAGAACCGTGCTGGGACACAGTGCTGATTGGGACACTGTTCCCAATAGTGCTGATTGTTGATGGTTGTTAATAATATATATCATTATCCCTCCTATTAGTGTTTGTATTATCGTTGCATCAGCTTAGGGTCAGGCTGTAGATCTAAAGCTGGTGAGAGCGAGCCCCCACCTCTTTCCCCAGGGCTGGTTCTGCCTTGCACTTGATTAAGCCCCTGCCCCAGACAGCAGGTTGCACCAGACACTCTCCACAGGCCCTTCCGGCCCCTCTGCATGGTGCTGTCACTCCAGTCCCACAGCACCCAGGCCCCAGGCCCCTGCTGCAACTGAGCAGCTCCTTCCCGCACTCCGCCCTTGCGACTGGAGAGAAACTGCCAAGTCTTAAATATGAAATTATCATATTGGAAGCTCAAAATTATTGTATTTTCTGAAAAAACATCATACTCTGAAAAAATGCATATAAGTATGTAAATAAGTCTTATTTACTTTATATTGCTCGCTGTAACTGGCCAGCAAGTGAGAACTGGGTCATCAAAGCACAAGTATTTATTTCAAGGCAAGCAGTGAAAAAAGCCCCCAAAACTGGAATAGTGATGGGTGTGTGGGCACATGGTGTGAACTTTGTACTGGGACAAAAATAGTTCAGCTTTCAAAGTGTGTTTTGGCTTGCTACAGGTACTGTTTCTCTCTCTTTCAGCATTTTTGCAAAAAAATAAAAAACCTGAAAGCTGGTTAAGAGTCTGAGAGCGGCTTGGGTTTTGCATATGCTGCATCAGTTAATCGCCTCAAAAGTTATCTGATATGGAGGTTGTAGCCATATTGGTCTAGAGGCAAAAGGAATTGAAGTTCATGGAAGATACATTTTATCAGACCAACTAGATATCTGCAAAGTATTGTATTTATCTGTATGCTTTTGGGCACACTCACCCTTCATCATTTTTTTTTTTTTAATGAAAATTTTGTAAGTTTACAAGTAGGAAGCATTTTATCACCTGAATTTTTAACAGGAGGCTCCTGCCATTGTTTGAGTGAATTTTCGTCTCCCAGAGCACAGGAACATGGATACCTCGCCACTTAAACTCCTGCCTAGAAGAGTGGTCCATTCTCCTGTGAAATATGAAACATCACAACCTAAACCAAACCTACCTCTACATCCAGCTTGCACCAGACAGCTTTGAGGTGAAAAGACTTTCAACTTTTCCCTGTGCCTCACCTGTACAAAGTGAACTTTTCCAAGCAGGAGACTCCACCACTCCTTCAGCTCTCCTGGGAAATATGAATTTCCATTTCTACCTAGAACTTCGCCGCTCTCTGCTCCCTCCTGCCCTGTGCTTGAGAACGGGTCAGCATGCTCGAAAACTTGCAGATAAATGCAGTCGTTTGTTTGCAAATATCTAGTAGGTCTAATAAATGATACCCCCTCTTCCACGAGTTTTGACACTTTTAATATTAACTATCGTGCACGGGTTGAAAGGATGATACAAAGACAGTAATTAAACACCCACCCCACGAACACAACCCGAACCCCAACCCTTCTCATCAAGCTTCCGGTCCCTCTCACCCCCCGGGCGGACGTGATGTCACGACTGTGATGGCCGCCGCCAGCCCTGCGGCCACGTGGTAGGCGCCGGCGGAGGCAGCGGTGAGCAAGGGGCTCGGGAAGAGGGGAGGCCCGGCCCGGCGGCTGCCCCGGGGAAGGCGCGGCGTCCTGCTCCGGGGGCAGAGGAGCGGGGCGGGCGGCTGCGAGCGCAGGCAGAGCTACCCCGAGACGGGGTCGGGCGGGGGGCGCCGGGCCCGGCTGCAGCCCTTTCGCACCAGCGGCCCCGAGCAGCCTGGCGCGGTGCGAGCGGTGCCTCCGGTGGCCTCTCGAGGTGCCCCCGAGGGCAGCTCTGAGGTTTGCAAACGTGGTCCGCAGAACAAGCCCAGAGACTGTCCGCAGGAAGCGGAGTGTTCACTACATTGTGACCTGCTCTGACCGTATTGCGGGGAGGGGGTGTTGTTTTGGTTTTGGTCTTTTGCGGCAGAAGATTGGCTTTGTTGGCTTTGTATACTCAAAAAAGCAAGTCAAAACCAGTATTGACAACTCTTACGATTTTTGGTGTTGTTCTTAAAGTCTGCGCTTTGGGAATGTGGAAAATTTAGCTCTTTGTTTTATCTATATTTGTGTATGATTTGTATAGTGTGTGAAAGAGATGAGTTTTTCACATTCCCAAAGCGTGGACTTTAAGAACAACACCAACAATCATGAGAGTTGGCAACACTGCAAAACTGAGAGCTGGCAGTTACCAAGGGGATGAGTGTAAGGAGGGGAAGCTGGAGCTTAAAAAACTGCTGGTTTAGAGTCAGCCCTGCCTGGTTACTTAGGTCCCATCTGTGGAAGCTCAGACTTTTTTGTTGGTCTCATAAAAGATATTATCTGTACTACGAGTCCTAATTGCTTTTTCCTTTAGACCAATATACCTTCAGCCTGGATACCAGTGCTAACAGTAACTTTCAACCTGGCTAAAGACTCGCCCATCTCATTGCTGTCAGTGGGAGATGAGCTGTAAAGAGCACGTACCCAGTTACCATTTTGAGTAGTAATTTCTCTTGGTCCCTTCCTCCATGTTTAATGCTTAATTGCTGCAGATTGATGCAGCAAATCAGTGCTTTTCATGGACATGTGTACTGCCCTGTTTTTATTTGTGTATGTCTCCTGGCTACTCTTTCACCATGTTACATATGCCATTTTGTGAGTTGATCTGGCCATTGTGTTTAGCATTAGCCAGCCTGGAGCTCCAGTGCTACAGGTGGCACAAGCAGCCTCTGTGTGGGCCATGACAGATCAGAGAGGGGACAGAGAACACCACGGCAGAGGGCAGGAAGAAGACAGCAGAGCAGGAGATGAAGCAGAGTAAGGGGATTGCCATTGGAGAGTGTGTGGAGCTAATTTTGGCAAGCATGCCACAAAAGGTTGGCATTGGCTGAACTAGTACACTTCTAATTGTACATTGAATGGTGCAGTAGTATTAGTCACATTTTTAGGATTGCCTCCCACGACAAGCTATATAGGGATAAACTTTGAAAGCCAGGAGTGCAACTTAAGTGTGGTTATGCATTTGCAGGAAGAAACTGCTTGTGTAGTGCCTGTTTCGTGCATGTGCGAAAAAAGTAAAAACAAGTATAGTGTTTAGGGCAAAATTCTGGATTCCGTTCACAGTCGGGAGTGAATGAGGAAAGTGGCTTATGAGGATTGGGAAGGGAAAGGAGTCCTCCAATAGCTTTTCAAAATTTTAGGTCTGCTAGCCAAAACCTGAGGCTGCTTTATTTTTCTTTTCTTTTGTTGGAAGCAAGGAGTCTCACAAGAGGCATGTAGTGTAGATTGTCTTACACGTTATTTGCATGCCTTCTCACTAGCTTCCTCCTGAGCTGCCCCTTATCATCCATTCTTAGAGATTCTGTTCCATGTGTTGCTTTCTTCAGTGGTTGGAAGGAGAGTTATAGGATGTGATGCATAACAGACAGAATGTCATGCTTTATACCATTTTACTCTAAAGAGGGCAGAAAACATTAAGAGTTTACATCATTACGCATTAAGACCAGCATTCTGGTAAAACAGGGTGTTTGTAAAACATCCACACAAGAGCCCAGTATAAAGCTGTAAATCCAAGGTTTCCATCCCATGCTCCCGCCAAAAGAGGTTTCAGCACAAAGTGCTAAAGGGTCATGGTTAACAAAATGCACAAGAGCTATGTGATGGTTTGTCATCAGGGTTTCTGTACTGCAGAGGTTTCCAGTGCCATTTTCAGCAAGAGGCTGATAAATGAGTAATTAAAGATTGTTTGTCAAATTGCATGCATGCATTTGGAGTTGCAAGTGTTCTTAAATGTGCAGATTCAAAACAAAGAGGGCCTAGTCAGTGGGAGCAGGACCAAGCCCAAAGACTAAACTTCAGAGAAAACTCTAGTTAAGACAAGTGTCCCATTAGCTTTACACATAGATGGAATTATGCACCATCTGCAGTGCAGTGTTTATGCCATGTGTTATATGAATCTAGATACCTTGTTCTGCTGTTTTTTATGATTTCTTGTTCAATTGTTTTAGATCATGATGAAGACAAAAAAAGGAAATAAGTTTAGAGCTTCCTTTAAATCAAAACAAAGGGGTATCAAAGTAGTAGGAAAATGGAAACCTGTCAAAATCGACCCAAATCTATTTGCTGATGAGCAGCTTGGAGATCTGGTGTGCTTTGAGGAGCTTACAGATTATAAATTAATAAATTCCTCTAAATCTGGAAAAGAAAAAGGCAAGAAGAGAAAATCTGATAGTGTCTCCAAAGAGGAGGATTCTACCAACCAAAAAAAAAAGCAAAAGAAAGGCAAAGGTTTGGGAACTAGAACAAGTAAAAATGATCATTCTGAGGAGAGAGATGACATACTCACTGATCAAGAAGATGAACCTAAAGATACCATCACATTGACTGATTCTGAAGAAAATGAAAACAAAGCTGAAGCTGCTTCAAGCACAGAAGAAACTTTGAGGAAGAAGAAGAAAAAAAAGAAAGCATCTCCACCCCAGCAAGCTCCTCCTCCAGCAAAGTCTTCTAAGAAGGTTACAAATTGGACCACTCAGGTTTTATCTGCGTCATCTGATCAAACAGCTGATGTGTCTGCATGGAAAGACCTCTTTGTTCCAAAACCAGTTCTGCAGGCCTTGAGTTCTCTGGGATTTAGTGGTCCAACTCCTATTCAGGCATTAGCTCTGCCTTCTGCAATTCGAGATCATATGGATATTCTGGGTGCTGCAGAAACAGGTATAAATGCGCACTGCTAGAACATTAAGTACATTGACTGTCCCCTTCTCTCTCTCTCTCTCTCTTTCTCAAAAAGGCAATGTATTGTTATAATTGCAGTAACAGGATAAGAACCTGTAAGCTTCAGTCCATCCAGTGAACTAGGAAGGGAAGTCTTCTGCATTGCAGCCATTTACTTTACAGATGAAATATACTGCATTTGTTTTGCATACTAGGACACTCGCATGTACAAAGCTTTAAATCCTCCATATAATTTTGTCTGGGGAATCAAATTATATTTGATGCACTTTTTTTAAACTAGGTCAGAGCTCCCATTACCTCAAGATCAGAGATCTGTCAGAGCCTAAGGCTCCTTTGCTGGCTTTGCAGATCCACTAAAGGGAGTGAGGGCCAGTCTCTTTCACTGGTATACCACAAGTTAAGCCCTACATTCTCCCTGAGGTACCACTCTAGTTGCCTCCCCTTGCCCAATTTTTTGCCCTATTTTCTGCTCCTTGTCCTATCTGCCCCTGTGTTCCTTAGTCTCTCCCCAGTCTACTAAGTCTACATACATAGGCTGCCCATGTCACTTGTGGTATGCCTGCCATGAATTGGCCACCCCGACCTAACCCCATTTGTTCTAAAGGGCACCTGTGACTGTATCTGGTGTTTTGTTTACTACTACCATTTGGAGGTCATCCTAGTAGTTATAAAATGGAACAGCACTGATTTGAATGAGTGATCACAATGCAGGTGTGGGCAGCACTGCAGCCTTCATTTCCCAGTGCTGCCAAGCCCAGCAGCATTTCTGTTCTTTAATTATTGGTGTCACTGTAGCACCTAGGAGCCCTCATTGCAGAGAAGGACCTCATTGTGGCAGGTGTTTTTTGACCCCAGAACAAAAAAAGATGGTCCCTGCCCCAGAAAGCTGGAAATCTGAGCATAAGACAAGAGACAGCAGATGGTTTGAGGCAGGTGGGGGACAACAGCAGAGAGCCTTGGCCAGCATAGCCTCAGCATAACAGCAGTTTTGTACTGGATTTCTCTCAAAGACATGGATCGTTATGAATCTGAATTATGCCAAACGACCTGTGTGTATGAGATGGGCAAATTTTACCTTAGGAATTAGGATGAGACCAAACTATTGTGTACTACCAGTGACCTTTTAGTATACAAACCTGCCGGGCTCCATTACTTCTAGGACTGTGGTTCCTGCCCCATGGCTTGCGGGCAGCATATTGCCAATGAAACCTTCTGGCATTGCTTGTGGTCACAAAATCACTTTTTTCCACAATTCCATGTTCGTCCAGTTTCCTGGAGGCAGCACAGAATAGTGCAGCTTGCAGTAAATTACTTGCTCGGTACTGTTACAGCTCAGCAAAGGCAGCAACCAGTGATGTTTCTTTATGAAAAGATATGACTGGATTGGCTCTTGGTGGTAAAGTGAGATTTACAAGACCCCTTGCTGCCTGTATAGGGCCACCAGCGTGCTCGTAAATTTCTCTTTACTGCTCATGGGAAATGGCTCAGATGGGAGCAGCGTGGCAGAAAAGATGAATCACAGAGAGAGACCAACTGTTCAGAGCAAGAAAAGGAAGCCAGAATTGCCTAGACTGTACATATTGAGTCTAACTGGACACTAGTGGACAAAAAATATCCCTCACAACAGTAAAGAGATTCAGTGATTACTGGTCAAAGTACCCCCCCAAATGAACGTTGCATCTCAGATAGGACTACGAGTTGAATGTCCCACATCACAACTAAATCTACAGTGGTACCCTAAAATTACACGTAGAGGAATATTTTTCTTATTCTCCGTTTAAGGGGCTGCTCTGTTCTAAGACAAGTGTTTGGTTTTTAATGTAAAAAGATAAGCGCATCTTTTGAAAACAAGGTGTTGATATATCAAGAAATTACACATTTCTCATATGATCATAAGCACACACCTAAAAAGAAAAAAATAGAAGTGAATCCTAGTATCTTCTAGTTTGTCCTTGGCCTCATTTGCTATTCCCTTATTTGGAGAACATTGATCAGAGTTGTCAATTAGGGCAGGCTGTTCTCCTTAAGGGTATGCGGTTCCTTAAAAAGACCTTGGCTGCTATTGTGGCTTTTTAAACTACTTTTCTATCAGATTCACATTCTGCCTGCCCTGTTGAGGTTTTGTAAAAATACTCATTCCAAAGAAAAATTGTCTGCTTGAGGTCACCAAGTGCATCTCATAGGAGCAGAATTAAAATGGTCTGATAGAATCAATAATGTACATTTAAAATATTGAAATAAACAGTATGCATTAACTGTGATTTGCTTATGGAACAGCTTGTGATGGGATGCTGCTTCATTGTGAACAATTGTAACACTTGTTTTTCTGTGTTTTTAGGAAGTGGGAAGACGCTGGCATTTGCAATTCCAATGATCCATGCTGTGCTAGAGTGGCAAAACTCAAAAAGCTTGCCAAGCAGAAGTGCCAGTGCAGACCTGGTATGTGAAGATGGCCAAGAAACAAATTGGGAAAATGATAATAAAATGGAAGACCCAAGTCCTGAGCAGGGTGAAGAAGATAACGATACCAATGAATCTATCACGATAGGCTGCATGAAGGTGCTAGAAGATACAGACTTTGATTTTGATAACAGCAAACATGCTGTCGACTCAGATAAAAACAGGCCTCTCTTAGGACTTGTTCTGGCTCCTACAAGAGAATTAGCAGTACAAGTAAAACACCATATTGATGCAGCAGCCAAATTTACAGGTAAGGCACGAGAGGAAAAATCAGAGGAGCAGGGCCTTGTTGCTGGCCCTTCTGTTCATTCCGCCTGCCTTCCTTTTTAAAATGGAGATGTTACTCTTGTTACCTGAATGGGTGAAAAGTGGCTGAAATCCTTGGGTGGGGTTTCCCCTCACAGTGCAGCATTTTTCTTAATCTGTTGTTTTTAAGTGCATTCATGGTTCAATAAGAAATGCAAAACTGTAGAACTCTTGGTTCAGAAATGATACCTTTTATTAGACCAACTAAGAAATCACAAAAAAACCCCATTCTTTTTACTACTCTACAAATGAGTGTTGATCAGCTCCTAGTTTAGAAACACAAAACCAGTAACAGAATAACTGACCTGCAAAGTGCTGTCTTTTGTTGATAAGAGTAGCTATATCCTTATGCAGATGACGCCATGGTTCTTAAGGACAGAAAGTACTGGTGGGTCATCTACCATGACCTGCATGACAGGCCACAGCATTACGTGCACTAACCCCTGCTTCAAGGTGATGCACTTAATCTATTCTAAACCTCACATCACCTTTCCTACTGGATGCTAAAATGGGGAATGAGCATAGGTATGATGTTTTTGAAATGCAGGAACGAGATAATAGAAATAATCGCTCCTCCTCCTTTTCCCTGCATTCTCCACCCTCTTCCCCAACCAAATTAATGATTATATCTGTATTTATTAGTGTAATGCCTCTACTCATCAGAAATATTCAACATAAATTGTTTTTAAAGTATCTTCTTTTGCCCCCTCTCATATGCCTGTAGGCTAATTTCATCTCTAGCCCTGAAACAATGTGCTGACTTATTGAAGTACCAGTCTGTTAAAACCAGCACAGCAGTTGCTTTACAGAATTCATGACATAGGTAGGAGTTGGCAACTGTGTATTCAGGACAGATACTGAATTCTTCCCCTTGTCTAAGGAGTCTTGACAGCAGCTGCACAGAAACAGACAGCACCTGTCATGGGAAGGAAACTTGCAGTGTGGCCTTTCCGCTTTAATGCAGTGTTTTCAAATAACTGGCCATGGAGGTAATGCTGCAGGGGGGACCAGGGATCAGATACCCTCCCTCCTTCTCCCTAAACATACCCATGGCACTAGCATTTTACTATGACACTGGGGTTGCTCCATGTGACCTCCCAAACAGGAAGCAGCAAAGCTGCCTCAGTGTAGCCCTGCAGATAAGCTGTTTTGAGGACTGATGCTGAGTAGTTCAGAGACGATGTGGCACTCTGGAGCAAGCACATGCAGCACTACTTCATGTGTCTGGAATATGCCCAGCAAGAGGACCATGAGGGAGGCAGACAGTGGGACTATGCACAAGGTTAGATAGGAGCTCGCTGTGAGGAGTGGGGAGCCAGGTGGCAGGGCATTGTTTGAATAAGGGGGGTCAAGTGAACCATGGTTGGTCTTTGAACAAATCTTGACATGTCCATTTAGTCTAGTTGGATTCACTTGTTGCTACGGTCAGTGCTTTGTAATATGGGCAATTCAGGATCCAGTAGCAGGGTGGGCCTTCCTCGAGCATGTTCACTCTGCACCTGCAGACGGGGCAAAGGGTCATTTTACCTATTAGACATAGGACATTTTACCAGTTAGATGTCTTAGACATAGGAGCACAGCTATTCACCCAGTTCTGAATGAACGAGCATGAGCCTATGATCCTTGAGGGACTATGGTGGACTGCCTTCCTTCTGGGAAATTGAGAAGCTGAAGAACACCTGCATTAACTATCGAAGACATAAATATTCCTTCCTGCTGTTTCAAAGCAAATTCAGTAAAAGGATCACTTTGTTTTTTGGCATCTTCTGTCACCAACATTTCACTCTAATGCCGACTGTATTGCTGCATGCTCAATACTGTACTGAGAAGAAGAGACACGGGGTCCAGCCAAAGAAATTTAGTTTAGATCAGTACTTCTGAAATTACTTTTCAGCAGCTTTGCAGAATAGTATGAATTGTCTATTTTATTTCTAAAGAATGTTATTTCACTTGGAAGTAACTCCAGTGACCTATTGTTGTCTTTGTTTGACATCCTTTGTGTTTTAGGCATTAAAACTGCAATTCTGGTTGGTGGCATGGCTCCTCAGAAACAGCAGAGAGTCTTGAATCAGAAGCCGGAAATTGTAATTGCAACCCCAGGCCGCCTTTGGGAACTAATTAAAGAGAAACACCCACATCTCTCAAATCTCCGGCAGCTCAGGTAAGAATGGCTTTTAATCTAACTACTCAAAATCATCGTGGTCAGGAAAGACTCCTTTGCATCAGGTTCTTGCTTACTGATTAAGTAATGTTCACTGCCAGACTTCATATTTATTACCTTTTGAGAATGGGAGGGCTGCAGCAAAACATGTTAACAAAAAATGAATGGTTGCTTTTGAATCAAAGGGAGTTACTAGGCACCCTTTGTGTTTTCCTTGTGGAACCTCCTTTTTGTGTTTTTTAACACAAGGTTATTTAAAAATACATCAGATTTCCATTCATCCAAAGCAGGGACGCTTAGCCTCTTGCCTGCAGGCCAAAGATGGCCTGCACAGCTTTGGACTCTAGCCTGCAGGGTTACCCATGGGTTGGGAAATTTGGCGGTGGGGGAGTAGAGGCTGTTAATACTGCCACCCCTCCCTGCTGCCAAAATTCCACGCCCTGCAGGGTGACTCAGACCTGGGCCAAAACCCTTCCCCAGTGTGGCCAGATTGGAGCCAGGTCACGCCCCTTTCCCTCCATGTGGCTCGGTTGGGGTTGGGATGCACTGCCTTTCCCCCACAAGGCTGGGTCACTGCCCCTTGCCACTCTCCACAGGGCTGGGCCATGCCCCCTTCTCTCCACCCAACCAGGTTATGGCTGAGCCATGCCCCCTTCCTTCCATGGGGCTGGGCCACCACCCACCCTCCTGCAGGGCTGGCCTGTTCTGGGCCATGCCCCCTTCCTCCCCTGTGGCTTGGCCATGCCCCCTCCCCTTGCAGAACTACATCGGGGCTGGGTCATGGTCTCTCCCTTCCATGAGGCTAGGTTGGGGCCGGACCAAGCCCCCTTCCACTGTTTGGCTAGATCAGGGCTAGAGCACATCCCTCTGTGCAACTGGTGGAGCCCTACTGGTTCCAGCCAGTGGAGGGATCAGGCACTGCCGCTGTGGCCCACCAGCCAAAAAAGTTGATCACCAC